ACACACACACACACACACACACACACACACACACACACACACACACATCAAATTTGTATTGAAACTAAACTTTTCAGAGCATTTGAAATTACCATTAAGATTTTCAACATACAGTAGATGTTCCTGCCAGTAAAAACCATCTCTCAGTTCAAATCACACAGAAATCTATCACTGGATCACACTAAACAAACTACCAAATCACACACACACACACACACACACACACACACACAAAGTATTGTTTGGCCTTCTGGGACATTTTCTCTTGTTGCTAAACTGAACACCAACCACCTATCTCATGAGTCATAGCAATCCACTCAGTCATGGTGCTGGGAACACTGCCATGAGAGAGACAGAGACAGAGAGAGAGAGAGAGAGAGAGAGAGAGAGAGAGAGAGAGAGAGAGAGAGAGAGAGAGAGAGACACTGCCATGAGAGAGACAGAGAGAGAGAGAGAGAGAGAGAGAGCTGGAGTGAGAAGGAAAGGGGGTAACAACAGGGAGGAGGAGGATCCTTTCCTACCCTGATTCCATGAAAGCGAGGGTTGTTGTAGAAGAGTTTCATCTGCTCTGCAGGAAGTGCCCCCAAAACCTTCTGGATGGTGAAGAGCTGGAGGTAAATAAAAAGATGCAGCGTCACAGTTAATATAGTAGGGCAGTAGTTTTTTTTAAATTTTTAACTGTATGTATATTAATGCTGGAAACAACTGCTGACAAAACAATTTATTGATTTAGTGCACACATTTAGAGGTGTTTCCAAGGTCAAAAATGAACTTTCAGTCTCAACTTTCAAGCCAGTATGGACAAGTGTTCAAAGTGTTGCCAAACAAAGGACATTTCAAAATACATGGTGCATTTCCATGGCAACAAGGCAAAATCTACCTGTTGATGAAGATCATGTGAAACGATCAGACATCTACTGAATTGACATTGAGGTGATTTTGTTTGTCTGTCAGCTATATGGATATTGCTGTTATCATGTTAGTAAAGCTTAATTAAACATCCAGCAGTTACAGAGCAACAGTAGCATTCACTTGGATTGTGAATTGATAAATGCAAGTCCAATATTCACACTCCTTTTAGCTCTGCTTTGGTCTCCACCAACTCCTAAAGGAAGTATAACTGACCCTTTAGCGGTTAAATGTCTTTTAAGAGCTTCTTGCTGAAAACAGCTGCCAAAAGCAAACCAAAACAGTGAAGTCGTCTTGCGATTTCTTATTTCGTCTGATGCATACGTCATTCTTGTCCAGGTGTTTGGACAAAAGACCTGTGATTTCCATCTCACACGGTGTCACAACACTGTGAAACCCTCCCTTTAAAATGCTCTTTTTATTACATTAGAAAAAATATATATTTCAAGCCCAAATTGGCTCTTCGTCAGTTGCAGAGAAAAGAACGAGAGGACCAACAAATACTTTTCCATTGATTCATTTTCTGTCGGACTAATGGACCTCTCGTTTCTTGACCAACCTGATCTATCTCACTCTCTCCTGGAAACAAGGGCTGTCCGTCACTCAGCTCCCCGAGGATACACCCCACCGACCACATGTCCACCGCCTTTCCATAGGGGGCCCTGAGATGGAGCGAGACAGAGAAGACGGTGATGTGAGTGATGTTACTGGTGGTGGTGGGGCGGCAAAACTAAAGGATGGACGCCGTGTTCCTGGTGGAGACGCTCATAAAGAAGATGGTCATTTCTGAGGGAACGGAGCTGAAGAGTCTGGTGAGAAATGGCGAGAGATCTGGCAGCAGAGAAGCAGAGGAGCGGTGGTGTTGGAGGGAGAGAGTATTTGAGTGGGCGGCATTCAAATGCTGTCTCAATAAATGTTCCAGGGCATTTACTAAATCAGGCTACAGCAGTGAGGCTAGATGATGTTCAGCTGTCTCCAAGCTAGAATGGACATTTAATGCAGCAAAAAGCCTCAAAAACAAGACAAGAAACAGAAATTGTCTCTCGGGGTACGGTGTGGATTGTGCACGGTGATTTGTGTCACATCATCCCCTGTGATCTGATAATTTATGGGACTGAACCTTGTGCACAAAAACACATACAAAAATAATATAGCTCTTACATAATAATAATAATAAATAAAACTAACATTTTAAAATACAATACTTTAGAGCTTACCAGAACTTTTTTGTTTTTTTTACATTGACTTCATTTCCGTAAATTTAAGCTTGAGAAAAATTCCCTACTTTCTTAATATAAATAAACAATTAAACACTGGATCATCAACAAAATGGAGAGCTGAAAACAGAGATGTTTGTTCTTAACATCATGAAAGCTGATTTGGAGACACCAGATTTCACTAGACGGGGACAATATGTTAGAAGTGACTTGTTGTTCCTGCTAATATCTATATGTAGCGTATTTTAGTGTGTCGACAATTTACTCAGTCTCATACTGGAGATGCACTAATCTGCAAAGCCAGAGCATTCTGGACTAGAGCTGCAAAATTCCACAAATATCAAAGGTGGAATTGAAAGTTATGGGAATTAATTAATAGGGTATGATGGGAATATTTGGCTGATATTACATATCATAAGCAGACATAAGCCATTCATTTGTCAAATACAACCATTCATTTGTCAAATACATACAATGTGAAATGTGCCATGTGGCGAGTTATCAAACTAGCAAGATAACTAATGATGAAAGGTATTTTGATAATTTGAGCAGACTATGTGGGCTGTGTTTAAAGTGAACAACTCATTTATAAATGTTTTACAACGAGGAATGAATGGAAATCGATTGATTAATTAATTAATCATCAATCAGCTGCAGGACAATCAAGCTACTTGCCACGTGGTAACAGTTAGTTGGCAAAAACTAGCAGAACGTGTTAACAAGTTCTAAAGTGTGTAATTTGCTTTAGGCTAATATCTGCTGATTAACTGTAATATCGTTAAAAAATATCAAATATATCCACTACAGTAATGTAACCAAAACTTAGATGAAAGCAGGTAGTCCTTTGGCTCAGTGCGGTAGCGTTGGCAGTAGTGTGGGCTGCACATGTGATGGGAGAATGCACTGTGCATGCAGAGGGTTGAAACTGACTGAATTCTTATTTAATGCCATGCTGGTACATCATCTGTGTGTGTGATGAGAGAGTGCTGCTGAATGCAGTGCACGGTTAATATTCAATTAAATGGGTTTACTTTTAACCAAAACATGTCATAAGACCTAGTATTATTTTCTCACCTCTAAAACAAATTCACCAATAAAAAAGTATGATTTTTAGATATAATTCCAAATTCCGAGCTTAATTTCCCCAGGGACATTTGCAGGACACTTTCCAGCCCTTTGCGACCCTATTTTAGACACAATTGCCCAAAAATTTCAGCCTAACACATTTGGGATTTTTGGTCTCAGTTTGTAATGATGATGATAATGATGAGCGCTTTAGTTACCGTTTCTTTGGTATCATTCTCAGTGTCTTCTCTATCAGTTACAGCATTCAGTCATGGCAGGCAGTTGACTACAGCTTTTAGTTCCACAGCAATCCTTGGCCTCATGTTTCCTTACATAAACGATTCGAATGACTTCTTCGCAGTGAGTTTGATAGATTTTTAATTTGGGAAAATTAGCGCACTGGCATTGGATTGGTCGACTGATACGTGAACTGAGGTATTGGGAACGGTAGAGAAAGTGATGGATCAGTGTCTCCCTATCTCGTACAAAAACTGGTGCCCAACTGAATGAGGACATTTTCTCGTTCTCCTTCTCAAGTAGTGTACTACACACACACACACACACACACACACACACACACACACACACACACAGACACACACACACACACACAGACTCACCCCAGCAGCAGCTCAGGCGAGCGGTACCACCTTGTAGCCACATACTCAGTGTAATTGGCATCTGTTCCCTCAGACAGGTTACGAGCAAAACCTGAGCCAGAGCAAGATGGAAATGAACACATTACTGTTTTTTTAGACATCCAGTGCTCTGTGATAAATACAAATGCCTAATTAGTAAGAAAGTGCAATCAACAGTCAAATCGTTTGGACAGCTACAGTAACAACATGGCCATCATCCCATGTGACCAGACTCTAATTAGTTTTGCCACTGCAGGCGGGCCTCTGTGCTTTAGATAACTGGTGCACAGAGAGTCCGTTTTAAGCACGAAAAATCACAATAAACAGAATTTCAGCTCCAACACTGAATAACAAACAAATCTCACCCCAGCTGACTGAGTAGGATTGTATTAGAAAGAATTATGCAAAGCTAACTGACCGTGGGATTTTGCAAACAAATGTAGAATATACCTGGGAGACTAAAATAATAATAAAAGAAAATGCTGTATCAATACAATCTGTCAGTATTTTACAGGGGACACAGGTGGCCAACATTAACTTGACTTTCTTGACATATAACTTTGGCAGAGCAAGTGCTTTTCATAGAGCTTAGTGGCTGCTTCCCAGTGGCAGAATTGATCCTCACAACTCACATGGTGACGAATTAATGGTGGGATTTGTTTCACAGAGAACCGAGCTGGCAAAACTGAAATCACAGATATAACTGCAAAAATCACAGATAATTTGACAGCAATATGACAAATGTGCACATGTCTGTCTAATAAACCAGTTAAAGCTGATTCAGTCTGGTAAACAAATTATTTGACATGGGCAATGTGTTGTTTTTTTACCGCACTGCACATGTAAATCTCAACAACTCAACGTGAGAAATATGGCTGCTGTATAGAACAGAAGGATGAGACCAAAGACTCACCGAAGTCACAGAGTTTAAGGACGTCCTCGGAGCTGATGAGGAGGTTCTCCGGCTTGATGTCTGAAACACAGACACAGACAAAAGGCCCATTTTAAAACTTAACACCCGACTGAGTGACACTGATATTTTTGCAGCAGATACGTAAATATAGAAGTAAAGATAAACTCTTCACCTCTGTGTACTATCTCATTCGTGTGACACCAGTTGATGGCTTTGATGAGCTGGTAGATGTAGCTGCGGACTTTATCAGACGGTGCGCCGTTGGGCAGTTCCTCTAATAGCTCCAGCATGTTCTGCAAATCACAAGACAGAGCTAAGACGCGTGGCTGCAGGTTTGACTGTTTATACTATTGATTACAGGAGAATGTGCTTCAAAATAGGAATGTTGCCCGAGATAATTCTCCCAGTGGGGGGGATTTCTCTCCTCTTTCCTTCTTTCCTTTTTAAACCCTGACCAGGAGAGCGAGAAGGGACAGCATGCTAAAGTGACTGGAGTGCGGTATGACAATAAACCTGTCAGGAAGTAAACATTTAAGATACCCAGGCAACACAGTGGGGAATACCATTATTCACCAACAGTTCATATGTTGCCATGGTGATGCTTTTTTAATGCTTAACTGAGCAGTCTCAGCATCCTGAAACTCGGAGCCTGGATAAAGCAGAGTGGCGATGAGAATTCACGTGTGCATGTAGCATGAAATAATGATGACGAGCTGACCCTCTCGACGTATTCAAAGACGAGGTAGAGTTTCCCCCTCCTGCGAAAAGCCTCCTTCAGCTCCACGATGTTGTCCTGCTTCAGTGTCCGAAGCATCTTCAGCTCCCGAAGCGTCGTCTCCTTGACCTCCTCATTTTCTGTGCGGAAATGAAAGAGCCAGAGATGATACCGCTGCTCCTCTTTCTCTCTCCCTCCTCGTCTTCCTCCCTCCCTCGCTCACCTTCGCTGTCTTTGAACTTCTTAATGGCCACCAGCTCATTGGTTTCCTGTGAAGATAAGAGGACGTGCGTTGTGTTAAGAAGGTATAAATCAATTTGTTGGGTCAACAAGGCGACTTTCCGAGATAGGTGGCCATGATAGAAAGACGCATCAAACATTAAAAATCTGACCGAATAGATAGAAAGTCTTTGTAGAACGAAAGGTGAAAAAGACAAATGAGAGAAACGGTGCAGATATTTAAATTAATTTCCTGCCCACATGAAAAAAAAAAGATGTGTGCCCAAGTTTCCGGCAGTGGCAACACAAGAGCCGTGCTGTGTGCTCTCACTTTAATTGTTATTACCACAGGGCTTTCACACACAAAAAAACCCCCAAACCCATGGCATAGTTAATATGCATCATAAATCTCCTTCAGCTTCTTACAGGTTGCTCTGGTTGACCTTGCTGAATTTTACAAGCTGGTTTGGATGCAGATCCAGAGATTTGCCATGGCTTTGCTTCAAAGGCTGTGCTGCAGCTTTAGACATCAAGTATATAGTGTACGGTTTAACTGGAAAACAATAAAAGGGTTTTTAGGTTTTGTTGCAGCATTTCACGGGTCAAGAACATCAGATATGTGTTTGCAAACAGGATACTCATAGAATGATAGCACATGTCTTCATATATTCTTTATCAGGATTTCTGCTGCCTACGTCCATGGTGGGGGTCGGGGAATTGGGCAAAATGCAGCGAATGCAACCTGAAAGAAATCATGCTTTTACCACTTCTACGTTTCTAAGTAGAATATATAGATAGATATCATGCTGTCCCATGAGCTCCTTATTAACAAAAATGTAGATTATGGACAGGTTTTGAAGGCCTAAAAGAATAGCGCAAAAAGTTTGCGAGGCTATAAATAATCCTAGACAAATGGAGAATCCATCACACACATTGCACTGCAGGCATGTAACAGTGTGGGCTTTTTTCACAATACATCTGATTAATGTCTGGCATATTTTGCTGACAACAGCAAGAATTTCGTACGTGCCTCTAAAACTGAGTGGGGTCATTGAGTGGACCTATCATTGCTTTAGCCTGTTACTGCTATGTGTCCTAGCGTAGTATTTCCTGTTTTATTTTGAAAGACTAACTCCTCCTGACGTTTCACTTCCCGCCCTTGAGTGTTTCCCGCCTCCTTGATTAGTTTCAGCTGTCCCTCCTTAGCCCGGCACACAACAGACCTCTGCTCACCTGTTCCCACTTCCGCCATTAGTTAGTTACTGTATACATATAGTGGGCCATTTCCTTTGTTGCATCGTTTGTTTGGAGTTTTGCTGCGGTTTCCTTCCTGCCTTCTGGACTCCATCCCTGTAAGCTACTTCCTGCTGTCTCCTCATCTGCATCTGCACTTGGGTTCTTCTCTTGCTACTTGCCCTTCAAAACCGTAACATGTTACTAGCTAATATTTCAAACTGGTGTTTGAACTACAGCTGTCAGATGTCATGTGCAAACGTACTTATGTTTGAATATTTTATTTTCCAGCAAAATGTGTTAATTTGTAAATTCTGGGAAATATCTGCATGCATCGATTAAATGGAGAACCTGTCTGGTTAATCTTAACGTTGGATGCTGAGGCTGGCGTGGGTGACAGCGGTCCAGAGATAATTACACCCTCTGTCTCCATCCTCTGCATGTTCTTCTATTGTCCTTTTGTTTACGGAGGGTCAGACAACAGAGTCGGCCTCAGTGTCAAAGAGGTCACGCGGTGAGGAGCTGCCAGCACTCCGGCTCACACAAGCCAATTGTTCAACTGACAACTCTTTAATTAGAGTTGTCTATTCACAGATTTTCACACAAGAGGTGAATGAAATGAAACCTGGATTTATAGCCTGAAATTAGTTTCCAGTGAAGGGAAGTACACATCTGAATAGCAAATGGGGAGATTTACTGTGTTTACCAAGCAAAATAAAAATAAAAACGGGTGACATTTCAAGCTCTGTGGCAGCACCTTGTAATGTGCTGATGATGCTTGTGCTCATGTGTGACATCTCTGCCCTCAACTGATTTACCTTTTTGAGCCACTGTTAAGTCAGCACACCTATAAATAGCCTCAGGCTTGCTCATTTTCTGCTGATGACATGAGCAGCCCCCCTGATTGTCACAAAAGATTAGAGCTTGGACATTTCATATCAGCCATGATGTGTTACGGCATGCCATGGGCTGATAAATGCTAAAAAGAACTCTGCCGTTAGAAGCGGTGCTGCATCATTTCATATCAATACTTGTCTGTAGAGAGAGGTCTTCATAATTATTATGCTAAAAGGGGAAATGTGGGAATCTTTAATGGACCACATTGGGGAGCCAATAGGACTGACTCTTTTTTGTGATTGTTAAATAGACTGCACTTATATATTTGTGCACCTCTACGTTAACGGACAAAAGGCCTTTCTTTAACTCGTGGTCCTGTATTATACTCATCTCATTCTCTCCCTCAAAACCCATTTTGTTTTCTGTTGTCTTTGTGTAGGCCTTCAATCAGACAAGTGATTCATTACATTACAGTCATTTAGCAGACGCTTTTATCCAAAGTACAACCGTTTCATGAAACCTTTTTCTATTTTTTGTTGCAAACATGGTACAGCGAGGTTTCCCTTGAATAACTAGTAAAATACCTTGTCAAGTACAAGGTCTTTCACAACTTTAGGTTAAATTCAAGTACACACAAGGAAGTCACAATACTGGCAACTAGTCAACGATGGGTGTCATGTATACAGAGACTACATGCATTTGACATTTGACAAGTATTAAAATCGCTGGATTTTTCCAGTTTCCATTTTTTTTCATCTCTTATTTTATTCATTAACAAATATAATATATAATTAATTAATTAATATCTCAAAGTTTATTGATATTGTGATATATATAATGACCACGCTGTTGACCTTATGCTCATCAAAGTGGCATTCAAAATGAAACTGCTTCAAACTGTGACAAAACCTAATTTAATACAGAAGCAAAATCATTTATATCACTGATGACATCAATATGTTCAGATCTTCTTCAAAACGACGTATGACAATTAAAATTAACTGGAGCCCATGGTCGATGTCCTCAAATTGCTTAAAATGTTTCACCAACAGTCGAAAAACCCCAAAAGCATTCTGCTAACAAATATGTTAACTTTAAAACTTTGAAAGAAAATCAAGCAAAAGACCATGTTTTTACCTGACAAACAATTAGTCAATTATCAAAGAATCAGTGATGATCAACCACCAGCAATTAAATAACATAATTTCAGCACTACAATACAGCGCAGAGATAAAGTATAGGCACCGGGAAACGCTGGCTAGCGTGTAGGTTGAGCTATTGTCACTCTCAACACACAAATTCAAGATAACACATAAGCCTCCACATACACACACACACCCACATACGCTAATACAACACCTCCATGAAGTGGCAGAACATTGCACAAACGCCAGCACACGTTGGCTCGGCTAATTCAATGTGCCATCAAACGCATACTGTACTGTAAAGTATACATCATTTATACAGGGACACACGTTCATAATGCATTTATTTTTCTTGGTAGTACAGTTAGTCTCTTCTGAGTCACCTGGTTGGGTTTCAGCCCGGTGCCTATGATTCCCTCTCACGGGTCTGCTGTCGACTCCTAACAGGGTGACCCATTTACCATCGGCATAGTCTCCGTATTCAATACCTTCCTCTGCACCTCCTCCTCTCATCACACACACACACACACACACACACACACACACACACACACGCACACACTCTCTGCCACCCTTTTCTCTTTTGCCCTGCTTCCAGCTGAGAAAAATAAAAATAACTGCTCTCTCGCAGCAAAGCTAAAAAGCTTTTATTGCCATGGTCTGAGTCTACATGTGAAAATGAATCCCCTACAACTGTTATATAAGTGGGAAACATGTCTCTTCGTAAGTTAGGCCAAAAGAAAGGATTTATGATGAACCATACTTTGACAGCTTGCATCCAAATTTTTATGAAATGGAGATTCGCCGGCAACCAAATTCACGGTCCAATAAAAGGAAAAGGAGTTTGAGACGGAAACATTATGAATTCCTGTTATTGGCTTTGGCTCAAGCATGACAACATATTGAGGTTCAGCCACATTAGTCACACGGCTTGTCATCTCTTTAATGATTGAGTTGTCCTACTTGTTGGTTCTTTCTCCCAGACTCTTTGCTTTCATTGTCCACGCGGCATTGAGCAATATGACACATATTCTGGCGCTTTCATGACACAGAATAGAAGTCATAATCCATAACTAGAAACTTCTGTCTCTCCCGCTCTCTCTCTCATCAAAAACAACCTAAGATAGCTGTTGCATACAAATAACATTTAGCAAGCCAAGTCATTTGTACTTGCATATTTGTTCCTCTCTAATCTAGTGCTGATGCAGAGAACATTTGTCTTGCAAATGCAGCTTTTTACTTCAAACAAACTCCTTAATCCGTGCACACACACTGAGACAGACATCTTCGGAAGACGAGTGGAATGTGACAACAAATTTCAGATAAATTCACAGTCGCTTGCATTTTATTGCGCCCCATAATGCGGATGGTCCTTTTAGAGTTTATCTTGCATCTGGTTCTGCTGAGGTTTCAACTCCAACTCTAACTTGTTCTGCTTACCATGTCATTTTGTTCATGTTCCCAGAACACAAGCATTTGCATATTTAGAGTTTCACTCAATGTCTATAATTAATGGCTCATTTAAAATTTTCATGAGGCGTAGCGTGGAGAAAACTTGGTCAAGTGTAGGGCCTAAAATTAGAGAAACATGCACAAATGGCATAAGGGACCACGGGCCAAACACCAAGCACTCCCAGTACTCCATAATGAATCAGCCCAGTTTAGTTTCATCTCCCCTTCATCCGTCATACAATGCAGTGTTTGCTATCAAGCACGTCTTCGGAACTTGATTCTTCATTTTCACTTAGAACTGAGGGCGGGGAACAACAATGTCCAAAAATGAAATCACATTTACTCTTTCTTTGCTGCTGAATAGTCTCTGGGAAACACATTAGGATATCAGCGGCATTAAACATTTGAAAGATGCCTTTCTCTTCTCTCGTCGACTCTGCTGCGACTGTCACTCCTCCCACAGTCGTCTTTTCTCGCTCTCTCCGTGTGGACTGAGGTGTTTTTCACAAATATATTGTGTCCATAAATGTATGAAAGTTTTTGATCCATGCAGCTCAGTGCGTCTGTTTGATTCAGAAAGTATTTCCACACGTGAGAAATCTGTCTGAGGTATATTGGTAAAATGTATAAAGAAGTCAAGTGCGGGTCTATTTGTAGAATAAGAAGCCGTTCACTTTGATAGTTTCCGGTTGATTTTTTACACGAGTATCTCTGAACATTGATCTCATACTATTCAGCCACCACAATCCACACGGCTGACATCTGAGTTGATAAAAATGTTGATTCTGTCATTCTGAGTGGCCTTCAATTATCACTGTGAGCTCAGAGCAATAAGCTTCACGAGCAGCAATGAGTGGTGCAGGCTGATGCGTGGATGCTTTTTTGCCTCTCTGGCTGCCTTCAAGCAGGTTTGCTGTATGCAGTGTGAGAGGAATGCCTGCAGGCAATACTCAGGGCTCAAAAAGTACTGCGAAATTACATTTAATATAAATACTGTAATAATGTATCTATAAAGTTAATAGTATCCTAAAAAGACACCAGAACTGAAGTACATGCTTCTTTTTGTAAAGATGCAAATTCAACGACACTCTATAAAGAAAACTAAATCTATTTCAAGTATACAATACATAGCATTCCTAGTTTTTGTTTTTACTATCATTACTCTAAAAAACACAATAACTAACTTTAATTTGTTATCTGCTCGGTTGATTTAAATGTTGAAACTGAACTTAAGCCCTTGGTAGCAACTAAAGTATGATAAAAATTGATTTACTTTTATGAGGCAGCGTTGCCCAAACACCCTTCCTGCATGAACAAATCTGTTCTGTTTTGATTTTTTAGAACTAAATAAACTTTTGTAACAATTGTGAATGTTACTCAATGTGACAGTATTAACTTACTAACTTCAAAAGCTGATGTCTGTTTTAAGAAATTGATGCGATGAGATGATAATGGCTGTCATGCTGATAGTTATGGTTTTATTTCAGCAGTGCATTTGATAGCTGTTTAGACTCCTCCGTGTGAAGAGCACCTGAATTATTTGTAATTACAATTTCCAAGTCTTAAATGAATGTCTTCTCTTTCTACATTCAGACAGAGAGCTGCAAAAATCATCAGTTTGGTGTTTCATTCATAACATTGTTGATGGATTTAAAGATGTTTTTAGCCTCTGAGATTGTTTCTAAGTTTAGTCACTCACATACTTTGTGTAGCTTTCCAAACAAACGGTTCCTACTCTCTTTAAAACATCACTCAAAGATTGACAACATGCCTGAGACTGTGTCAAAATGTGTCAAAAAGAAAGCAGCTTTCTGGCTAATATTAACTAAGTGTAACTGACTGAGCCTGTTTGCTGAAGATAACTGAGATATTAGATATTGATGTTTACATTTGATTCTTCATCATCATCTGATTTTATTATTGAAACACAGACTTCATAGAACAATGATGCGAAGCATAAATATGTATATATTTTTTTACAAGTGAGCAGAAAGGAGAAATGCTGTCTTACCTTGTGCCTGCACTTAAGCACCACTCCATATGCTCCTGGAGAAAAAAAATAGAGAGAAAGACACAAAAGATCAATAATGTTTCAACATCTTAATTATTGTTTTGGTTCCATACACTTCAAAAAAACCAGTGCAGTAGGTGAGAACCACCAGAAACAATCGTTAATAGGTGAGGCGGAGGCTTATGTACTCTCCCACACACTCTCTCTCACACACACACTCACACACACACACACACACACACACACACACACACACACACACACACAGTGTCCCTTTAGCTTTCAGCCATTGCTAAGCACACCATGTTCTCTGTTGATCATCCATATTTCAGATGTTAATTATTTAATTTTACAAACTGGTTTGGTTGCCATTCAAATCACACGATCGACCTAATAAGGTCCAGTTTGAATGTTTAATTCAAGCGTGGAACGAGGCAAGAACAAACAAATTGCCCCACATGACTAAAACTAGCAGTAACATAAATATGAAGCAGAGTTAAATGATCCAGGAGACTGCAGTCTTTGTCTGTTGAGCTGAGAAACATTGACAATGTCAAGTGAAATATTCAAATGGGAATTAATAATGGGAAAAATGGTTTCCATTAACAACAACTCTTTGATTTATGTATCCTGACAAGCACCAATGTGGATCACAGTTAGTGAGAATCATCAACAGAACAATAAACACTCGGTTACTTTGTCTTCTCACATTAGAGTGAAGTCAGGGATGCATGCCAGTCCAGCTCACTGAAATGAGCTACGAAAGAAATCATTCCTGCTCGGTTTGATGTGTGAAGGACTGTGTGTGTGTGTGTGTGTGTGTGTGTGTGTGTGTGTGTGTGTGTGTGTGTGCAGCTAGACTTAAAATATCCTCATTTATTTTATTTTATGACCAGCCATCAATGCTGTCACTGGAGCAAGAGTTGATTCTCCTGTAAACACACACGGAAGCCCTCACTGATGGATACAATCGAGGCTGATGCTCATCACCAACCTCGGCATTTGAGATCTTTTCTGAAAAAAAAGTAAAGGTTTCCCTGTGAGAAAATCCCTTATTATATTTTAAACTTGTCCAGGAAATATACAATCCCTTATTATATTTTAAACTTGTCCAGGAAATATACAATCCCTTATTATATTTTAAACTTGTCCATGGCTTAAACGTGTTCTAAATATACCCATAGAGTCTGATCAAATATTGGTATAAGCCAACAAAAAATAAAGTGTATCTCCGAATGTTGTACATCCAGGGTCATGTCAAACGCAACTCTGCTGCTTTGAGTTTTTTTTATTCTTTATTAATCCACTTAATCCACTAATTAACTCAAGTTGTTTCTCCCCTGCTGTTCTTTCACAGTGTGACTTAGTTACAGTCTGTGAAACTCGCCTATTTTAGCCAACGTTCTCCTTCCCTTCTGATATTTTGCGAGGGCACCTTTTATTTATTTTTTTGCGATTTTTCCATTGGATTGTGCAGAAAATAAGCTTTGTGGCAAACAAACGTTTATGATACTTAAATGCAAACGTACGTAAATGAACACCACCTTTGTGATTTGTGACGAACTACACCACGGTCGCATGAGCGCGAGTATACACGAGGCTGTGAAGGCAGACTAGTCGCCGTGATGGCGTTTTGTAGTCTCATTTAGCCACTTGTTAGAGACCACCTTTTTGTTTCTAAACCAAAAACAGATTCAAGAAAACATTGACTGCAAGACGAGGGACACGGAAGCGCAAAAATGCTAATTTACAGGTTTTTGGACATATTCCTTCAGCACTCTTTAACAGATTGATGTGTGGAGCCGACACAGCCCTCTAGAGATACATCTGGATAAGAGACACTACATTGACGGAAACTTAACCTTGCTTGAAAAAAAACAACACCAAAATGGAAACAACTAGAAATAATTAGGGAATAAAAAACAGTATTTCTGAGCAGAGACACTTCGAGCAGCAGAGGGGTGACCATGATGTGACTGTTATTGCACTGATGAAATTAGTGGAAACATACACTACCAAGACAACAGGTAACAATGGAGTTTGCATCAACGGCAAATTAGTCAGGAAACAGGGAGGCTTCTTAACAAAATCTGAGATATTTAAGATATAAAACAGGGAAATATAGGAGAAAAGACATGTCTAATATAAGCCTGTTTCAGATAAAGGTCTGTTTCTCTCAGTAGTCGAGGTAAATAAAGGCCGTGGAAACTATAGTATGGTAAACAAATGACTAATGCTGTCGTTTTCTTCGTGAGGACAGTCTCGAAGGATTCCATGCTTCTCTATGAGAAACGACTGCAAGCTCTCAGGCTCACAAATCCCTTTAAATACCCTCTGTATTGTGTACAAAAATGAAACAAGACCTGACAACTGTGATGTGCAGGTTTCAGCTGCACAATGCAAACTGCCCCATAGGCTGTAAAAACACGCAGAAGATTTGACCTCATCTGATCAACAGGATCAGAGTTGTAGGCCTCACGTTCTACGAACATGCAGTAAAGCCCTGCGCACTGTGTAAAAACCACCCACCTTCTCCCACAATGCCAAGGACTTCAAACTTATTCATCACATCACCGAGGGTGGGGGCTCCTCCAGCAGGTGAAATGAGCTGCTCTGGGATTTTAGCGAGGAGACTCCTGCTTCGACCGGAGGCTGACGGAGTGAACTGTCGAGTCCAGGAGAAATGTCGTCTGACCACACTCCATCTTCACAGCCTCTTCATCTTCTCTCTCCCTCACTCTACAGCTCTCTTCTAGCCCTACGTGCTTTTTATGTCCGTTTTCTTTTATTTATGGATCTGACTCAAGTAGGTTCAGTTGTCTCCGAACTCCCTTTATTCCATGTTTTGAGGCGGCCCGTCTCGCACTTATATCCAAACCTCCACACGCTCGTACCTGCAGGAAAAAAAAAAAAGGAGACGCAAGGTTTTCAAACAGGCTGTCAGAGGGTCACTCCAAGGTCCAACTTCCCATCATGCCTTGCACAGGCAGTGGCATGCTGGTGGTATTCCTGGCACAGATGGTGGCTAACTAGGGCATGTGCATGTACAGAAAGGCAGCTTTTCCTTGAGGACATATTTGAATCATGGATGACTTAAGCATGACTTCCACACACTCCTCATATTCCATCAGCCACACATTCAATCTGGAGGAGGTTGCAAGGCTGACAGTCTGAGGTGGATGTATAATGCAGCACTATTAAGCCGTGCTTTGCTCAGGTCTAACTTAGTCATTCGCTGCCGGTCAGTTACACCACCACTTTGGTCCAGACTGAAATATCTCAACATCTTTTTGACAATTTTTCATTTTGTACATCCATGGTGACAAGAGGATGAATCCTCAGGACTTTTGTGATCTCCGAATGTTTCCTCTAGTGCCGTCAACCGATCAAAGTTTTCACTTATCCAGTAAAATAGCTCAACATTTACGAGATGGGTTGGCAAAAATGTTTGGTACAAACATTCATTGTTTCTGATGAATCCTACTGGTTTTGGTGATTCTTTACTTTGTCCTCTTGCCCAACCAGCAGGTGGTCGATTGAGGTTATTAGAGACAAGTCTCAGCAACTACTGTGGATTGCCATGACATTTGGTACAGACAATCATGTTTCCCTCACGATGAATGTCAATCCCCCATCAGCCTCAACTGTACTTTGTGTTCAGTGCTAACAGAGTGCTGCAGGGATGACAGATTTTTGCAGGCCAACCCCGAAAGTTAGCATGAAAATGGTTCCCTCGACAAAAAGCCAATGGGATTTTTTCCATTGGATTTTGGATTACTGCAGAACATAAGCTATGTGTCAAATACAACTTTATGATACATGTTAAAACAAGATAATCTTCACAATTTAACACCACTTTTATGATTGTTGAAGTGTCACTGCATTTTGCAAAAGTACAAAAACGTTAGGCTATAAACTAACTTCACCACAGCCATGTGAGCGGTGGTATACACCAGGCTGTGAAGGCAGACTAGTCTGCGTTATGATTTTTTGTAGTCTCATTTAGCCACTTCTTAGCAACCGCCTTTTTTAAAAACACGTAAAAACTTCAAAATTCACGAGAGGGGTAACTGACATATTTTATATCATAGAGCAAAACTTTAAGATCTCTTCATCATGTTAACCACAGACCTTATTTCAGGCATCAAACTGAAAATACATTTCCAAAACCACTGACTTCGAAACGAGGGAACTGGAAGTGCAAAAAATGCGAAATCATTTCCTGGTTTTTGGAAGCAAATGTTAGCATGCTAACACACAAAACTAAAATGGTTGACATGGTAAAAATACATCTGCTCAGCATCCGCATGTTAGCATGGTCATGAGAGCATGTTGGCATGCGGATGTTAGCATTTGGTTCAAAGCAGCAACAGCCTCACAGAGCTGCTAACATGGCAACAACTATTAGATGGACTGCCATGAATTTTGTTACACAAATTCATGTTCCTTTCACTCGGTGATCCCCTTTAGTTGCCATCATCAGGTCAACATCTCTTCCAACACTGTGGTTTGTGACCAAATACATGCAAAACTAAGGGCAATTCCATCAGCCTTTGCAGCACTTTGTTTTTGTCAACCCACTGTATAATTACCTACAGCTCCCTGTTGCTGCCACATTCAAGATGTTGAACTGAATGGGTTGAAATGTGCGATGATGATTAAACATTCTCACAACGCCTGTGGGGTAAAATGTATCTTTATACTTTCATTTCCACCATTTACCAAGAGGACGTTCTACATTTATAAAGACTTAAAGATAAAATATTTTGTTTGAGGAAGACAAAAAAAAAACACAATTATATCCCAAGGCTTACATCTCCTCCTGTCACACATCCAAAAATTGACCACGATTATTAAACGCCTCTTTTGTAATGCGAATGCTGTTGGACTGGAACCATCAAAGCTTCTCACAGTATCAGTCCAACTTCGTTTGTTTAACACTTGATTTATTCAGCAGTGCAAAAACACTTTAATGTTGATTTGGCTCATGTGCCTGTGTGGGCGTTTTCCTATGCAGTGTGCACTCCACACTGCATAGGAAGTCTTTCCAGGGGAAGTGATAAGGTGGATGTTGAGGCCATGGTCATTTAATAAGGAAATGTTGCTGCCACTGGGGAGTGATTAGATCCATATTGTATCGTCTCTGAATAGACCCTGCACCTGGAGCAGCCTATGCATTATTGCCTGTCATCGAGGAAAAATGTTCCTAAAAACTGGGTTCAGCACAGAGAAGGTTTATAGATAAGCTGCTGCTCCTTCTTGCAGCCATCAGACAGACAGCTGGTGCACGGACATAAGGTGGAGACGTCAGGGAAGTCCAGAGAACCCTGACAGAATGGACTGGAGCATTAATCTTCCTACAACACACGCCTGTTGGTGTCTCGCATGCAAAGCGAACGCACGGGAATGTGTGAGTTTGGAAGATTATTTTTAATAGGCAGGTGCATGCGTCCGCGTGCACGAGAATGTGTGTGTGCGTGTGTATATGAGGTGCGAGAGAGAGAGAGAAAGAGAAAGAGAGAGAGAGAGAGAGAGAGAGAGAGGATAGTAATGCTGCTCTCTCTGCATCGAAACTGCGTCTCTCTCATCGCTGCGTTGCGGAGCGCACCACCATTCCGTCGCTGTCCACGCGTTTCTCAGCCTACACAGCGGCCAGAGCACACACCACAACGTAGTTCACGGACCATGTTCACGACAGTGTTGCACAACAAGACCAGCAAAACGACGTTTACCCATAAACCCGTAATTAGACATCGTGATAAACTAGCATAAAAAACCCCAAAACAATCCACAGCAGCCCGTCCATCAATAAAACCCCTTTTTACCTGCAGGTGTGACGTGTCGCCTGTGTGAGATGAGACTGCTCGATCTGTGCAGCACACAGCATCATGCCCATGAAAATGATGATGTGGGAAGGTGAAGAAACATCATGTGGAGCGACAGAGAGAGAGTGAAAAAAAACGAGCCCGGGCCTGTGCGTCGTGACACGATCAAATGTCCTACTCACTCAATCCCTGGATGGAGACGAGACCGAATCCGCAGGCATAGCGCCGATGAGGGGGTTCTCTATGTACCGTGAACAGTTCTTCAGAGGCTCCGTGTTCATAGCCTCAGCATCAGCTGGTTATAGCAGTAGCAAAAAAAAAAAAAATCGTCATTCCTCTGAGCGACGCTGCGTACAGCCAATAGAAGCGCGGACGTATGCGCGTTCCAGCAGTCGTTTAACATCCACGAGCTGTGATAAAATAAAACTTTGGCGTGAAAAAAATGCGATCCAGCTCATCATTTTGTCAAATCTGAAACACGCCTGATGTTGTTCTCCCTGTTAGCACATATTTCACACTGCCGGCTCTTGACATTGCTGCTGCATCAATGCATGTTGTGTCACTGATTCAAAATCTCCCTGCAGCTCGTCTCCGCTCTCCGCCACCTACACCTCCCCTTCATGACTGCACTAATTGGCGGATCAGTGTGAATTCACTGGATTCACAAACCCTGGTTCTATCGGCTTCCGAATGAGCGTTCTGGATATTTTGCACACGAGATGCTGCAAAAACACTATCTTCTTCTACTTCTTCTTCTTCTTTCTAACGACCATGTGTTCTGTGTTTGACGTCCGCACCATCCTTATCATTGGTTTCCCCTGTCCAACAGCCATAAATACCTCATTATATAAGGTATTGATGTGTCATATAACAACTATAATAAAAGTATATAATTATGAGAAAAATGTTCTTTTCAAAAAGCCTTTTCTTTATACATAATGACCCTTTGAATGCTGTTATGAAATGATTGTATGAATGGGGCATTAGCTTTTTCATGCTGGTTGAGATGGAGCTTACTTTATAGACAGAGCTTTTAGAATTCATCATAAACTAATTAGCATTTGTTGTGAAGGTCAGATAAGAGGACATTTTAAATATAGATAGCATTCATGATTCAATAGGTACAAGTAGCATAAGTAAATACAGTTACGTTTTCACAAGTGGCCTATATGATGGGATAGTGACTCATCATTATGTGTGATGTGTTATTGCAGAAGTGACATCTTGCTTTTAACTCCACATGAGCTCACACAATGTGAAGCATTTGGTCTCAGTCCTCACTGAAGAAAACCTTCCTGAAACATTTCTTATTTTAGAGAAAATGATTTGAATATTTTCGAGATTGTAAAGAAAGTATTTCTCATTTTGTCAGTGACAGTTTCAGGAATGAAAAATACTGTGTGGAAGAGGTTGTTAATCTTAAACCTGCATTCTTTACTTTTGTATCACACTACAGGTTACAGATTAAGACGTTAAAAACAAGCATGTTTAACATAGATCAGATCAACTTTGTTGGTCCCAGGGAAATTAGCCTTATTTTATTTATTATCATGTATCATTTGATATGCAGTTCTCACTGATCAACTGAAAAACAAAACTACAAATGAGCCAGAGTTAGCATAAAAGGAATGTTTTTATCTGATGAAGGATGTATAAAATGGCTAAAAGTACTTTAAAGTAATGTGAGATTGTAAATATACACATATAAAGTAGTTAAAAGTAACTCAACTTTCACCAGCTGCTTAGGCTATGTAAATGTATCAATATGTATAATCTATAAAGTAATATAATCATTATTGAATACTTTTGATACTTAAGTAAAATTTTCTGACAATACAGGAAAAATACAGGACTTTTCTAACAGTAATTTTACACAATGGTGTTAGTACTTTTAAAAGTGTATAAAAGAGGATTACTTCTTTCAGCATTAATAATCAATAAATCCAGCACTAATTTCCCTTAATTGGGCTGGTTCGTTGTAGCCTCTTATTACAAAGACTCAATCCAATATGTTTTGGAAATGGTGTGTCTTTTTCATTTAGTGACTATTTGTTTTCTTCATTAGCAGCCACTTCGCATGAATCTGACAATGCCTGCAGTTGTGTCTCTCCTGAGTCGTTCTCATCACCTTCTCCTGCATAAAAAACAGGAAACAACACAGTCAGTGTTTCTGTTTTCGTTCCCACACCACATGCAGTTTATTAGCACAACCCAACATGAAACAATATCCGTCTCAATAAAACGACGAATTAATAATTCCCCACTCCTCTGTCTGATTTTATTTTTTGTTCAACCTCCAGTGGAAAAACATGAATTACAGCACTGCGTGGTGGACATGCGCGGAGCTGCAGCGAATATGGCGGCTTGCATCAGAAAGTGAGGAATCTCCCATCAAAATACCCGGTTCAAACGGTTGGTATACGGCTCGTGTCTCATTATTAGTCTCGTGTGCTTCCGGTGACGGGTTTCTCTCTAGTTTGCGATCTAAAGCGGCGCTCCTTCCTGCTGTTTGTCCCTGCAGTGGTGGATTTGCAGAGCGTGTTTATACAGTATTCTGCAGGCGGAGAGCTTGGTGCGTACAGTAGCTACATTGACCCCCCCTTCCTCCTCTCTTTCTGTTTACTGAATTCCTACAGAGGGTTACACTGCAGCTATAACAACTCCTTTATGATCCTGCAGCCGCGTGTTATCGCGCCTGTTGATTTAATGTAACGTTAGCGGTGTTTGTTTAGCCCCTATACGATGACCACTGTCCCGCACACAGACTGTGTGACCATAACGCAAATGAAAATGCGTCACGGACTTTTCTTTTCAGATTTCATTTCATCTTTTGCTGATTCAGTGGTTCCCCCTCCCCGCGCCTAAATCCTGCACGCTAAAAAAGAAAGACATTATTTATCAATCAAACAAACACACGTGCGACCTGGTGCCACAGAGGTGTGGTGTAACCTAAATGTCTGCATCAACAGCTGTCTTATTGAAAAATACTCTGTATTGAAAGTTTTTTTTGTTTGTTTTTGTTTAGATAGGCTTGATCTAAGTTTGCACCCTGGAGGTGACGCCCTGCAGCGGCTCACACTCCTCAGCCTCCCGGCAGTAACGTGATCCTTGTACCCTCCTGTCTCCAAATGACCCGCCTGAGAGAGAGAACACCAGGATATGCAGTGAGGACGGGTTTCAGTCTGGTTTTGAAGGTTGATCTCATTGTTGCCTGGTTAAAAAAAACAATATTTCACCTCAAAGATGAGCTACAGCGTAAACTGCACATAGACTCACTTTGTCAACTCTCTTAAGTCTTCATGATTTAAATTAATTGTAAATAGAATATCAAGTAGAGCTTAAACAACTGGCTGGTTAATCAATCAGCAACTATTTTGACGACCGATTATCATTTAAGTTCATCATCAAGCAAAAAATGCTGCTTTGTCAGCATTTGCTGCTTTCCTCTGCTTTATATCATTGTACATTTGGTAATAGTTACATTTTTACTTTAGCCATTTTTAAAGCAATGTCAGATATTACATACTTCCAAGATTATTACTTAATCTTCCAATTATTTTGTCAATTAATCGATTCATATTTTTGTCTATAAAATGTCTTAACAATTTTCCAAAACCTAAAGATATTTAGTTTACAGTCACAAAAAGAAAAGAAATGCAGCAAAAAACTGTGCGAGGCTTGAACCAGCAAATATATGCCATTTAGGTATCTGGTATTATTAATTAACGAACAAAATAGTTGTCAAGTCATTTTTCTGTATTTCAACTAATCAGTTAATCATCTGATTGATCCAGATTTACTGCTTTTCTTTGTCTTATGTGATTGTTTGTGAATATGTTGAGGTTTTGAACTTGTTGATTGTACAAAACAAGGTATTTGGAGACATCTAAAAAAGGAACATTTCTTAAAAAAAAACAATGTTATATATATATATATATATATATATATATATATATATATATATATATATATATATGTTTGGGCTGTTGATGGTACAAGACACGGAATTGGAATCTGTCACTTTGGGCTCTATACTTGCGATGGGCGTTTTTCACAGATTTCTGACATTTAGACTTAATCAATTAATAAATTGATTGTAAAAGTCATTATTAGTTATTTATTTCTTAATGGAATAACTCATTAGTTACAGCCCTCATTCTAACATTCTAACATTATGTCTTTCACATAACTTCAGGTGAAATGTATAAATTGGTGAAGTAACACAATAAATGAACATTGTAAAAAAGTAAAATGCTTCATAATGCAGTATGAATACTTTATTGTTATTCAAATTTAGCATCACTATTACAAAACATCTTTGAGTAAAGTATAAAGTTTCATCCAAATGTTTTCCCACGATAGAGAAAATCTACTATCAGTAACACTTTGACAGAAAGCGTTACCTTTAACATTACACTGATCCCAGATAAGTGAGTGCCTTAGTGGTAAATGGGGGTTGTAAAAATTAAGTGCTTCCTGGTCTGCTGGGCATTTTTTATTTTTTTTGTCTGACCCTCTTGAGCGAGACAGGCAGACCAGTGCAAACACTGAACAGTCGGCAGCTGAGCGGAGAGCAGAGAATCCTTTTCATGTCGGCCAGCAGACGTCCCGCATCCACACGTCTTAATGGCTTTTTATGGCAGCTTGGAATCTTTATGGCTTCTTCCCACTCAATGGGATTCACTGCAGAGACAGAGAGGGGTCTTCAGAGGGAGGCTCAGCCACAATGCTTTGCAGATGCTGAGATTTTCAAGCACATGGCGAAGCAGACAATGTCTGGCTTCTGGACGGATTTTAACCTTTGAATTTCTGGATTTACTTTAGAGTGCATCACGTTTTCTTTGATGCTCTGGTACTGTGGATTATTTTTCTGCTTCAGTTTTGAGCTATCACTATGTGCGGACTTGGCAGGGAGTGGGACCATGCTGGGAGGGTTTGTAAACCTCAATGTTCTGACCAGAACTTCAGCGTAAACAGTGTGGTAACAATTTTATTTGATTAATAATTTGTACAGCACATCAGGAGTAAATGTTAGCTGTGTAGCAAAGCTGCTAACTCGTGGACTTTGAACCTCTTCATTCAAATGTGTATATGGGGTAATTATTTATATATATGATTTATTAATAGGATAAGATGTTCTTATTGAGATTTAATGCATCCTTCATGGCTGTTCTATTTTTGATGTGCAAAGTTGTTGTAAATTATAGAATATCATGTTTATATCCAAGTTGTGAGTATCAGATTAGATATCACAGGAAGGATGACGGTAATGTATTTAGATGGAATATTGGCTTTAAGTTACTTTCACAGCTGGACACTGTGAAATGGTGCATTTTTTGGGGACTATTTTCAGCTGTAGAATGATACACATTTGGTGCTCTAGTGAATATTTAGTGTGTGCGTGTGTGTGTGTGTGTGTGTGTGTGTGCGTGTGCGTGTGTGTGTGTGTGTTAATGCTAATGATAGAACACGTAAATTCAGCAGTGTGGCTCATTGTGTCTTTAATCGTTTGTGAACAACAACGATGGCTTTGGCCATGGATTCATTGTTGGTCTTGGTCTTTTCATTGGATTTGTTGACAGCAAGAAAAATATCACCAGACTTGACCTTTTAAAACAAAACTATATTACCACTGTTTAATATTACTACATAGAGAAAAAGGCAAGGCCTGTTTATTTGTAAAGCACCTTTCAACAACAAGGCAATTCAAAGTGCTTTAAGACTTAAAAATGGGATTAGACAAGATAAGAAACACAAGACAATATCAGAAACACATTATTGAATAGGTTTCAAAAGAGTAACATCAAATAGAAGATATGAATAAGCTAAACTAGAATACGACTAAACAGGAGAATATAAATTACACAATAGTTACAGTGCAATACAAGATATGAATAAATGGTGCTAAATTTACTTTAACGAAATGCTGTGGCAAACTGAAAAGTCTTTAGCTTTGATTTGGAAGAACTGAGAGTTTGAGCAGATCTGGAATTTCTGGGAGTTTTGTCATATGTGTTGGATAAAAACGTATCTGTGTTTAGTTGAGACGAGGGCTGAACAATTTTGAAAAAAACATCTTCCAAAATATAAAAAATTAAGTGACTATACTTTGACTGATATTGCAATTGCAGATTGTATACATTCATTTTAGCCCCAAAACATTCAGTGCTTTATAAACCAACAGTAGTATTTTAAAAAGACGTATTTGGCACAGAAGAAGCTGATGCAAAGCTATAGGGGAAAACACAGAAATACTTAGAAATACTTTTGCATGTAGGTTTATAATCTTAATGGTGATGTGTGTCAAAGATGTGTGTTCGAGTTCTGAATCTAAAGTCCCTGTCCTTCATTTTACTGGCAATGCTGTGAAATATCACATGAAACAACAGTACCCACCATCCCACAGCATACATTACAGTGGGTCTGTGCATTTTGACGTTTTTGGACTGTTTCTGTCTCCTCTCCAGTGTCTGTGTAGGTAACGTTCTGTCTGGCTCCAGCCGCACGTTTCACTTTGGTCATCATGGGCCGAACACCACACAGAGGTAGGCCTCCACAGTGTACTGTCACTGTCGTACTTAAGGCTGATTCTCACATGTACTAATAGGCCTAAACGCCAGTTTGATCATAAAACAAACACAGAAAGATAAAAAAAAAAAAACATAATTAGAATTTTTGGGTGTTCATCTTTTTGTCAGAGCTATTCCAATCACATGTTTTATGCCTTCATTCTCACATTAATTACAGTCTGTATTTCAGTAGCTCCCAGATTCTGATGAGCAGTTCAATCATCTGTGGATTTCAGATCAAAAAGAGGAGAAAGAGAGACAAAGCAGCATCACAGCAGGATCTCCCCTCGACAAATCTAATGGTTGGCATCTCTGATCTCTGGTTTTTCTTCTTCTCTTCATTATTGATCCTTTCATTGAGAGTCAGAATTATTTTTAGTTAATACCTTTTAAAAATAGAATCCAGCTACATCTGTGTCAGTACTTGTATTAACAGTGATCAGCAATCTATGTTGTCTTTTTTTCAGTCATTTCTGGGGTGGGTTAACAAAAGCACTCATAAGATACATTTTCAGAATGTTTTACCAAGTTTTTGATGAGCAGTTCCCCCAGAGATTACCTTCACCTCATTATCATTTAATTGCATATTTCTTCTCAACTTCCTGAACTGTGCAGATTTAGCAGCTGTGGTATAAATAAGCATACACTGGGCATTTCTCTCTCTCGCTGCAATCCATTGAACATCCCAACAATTAGGTCTGCTATGTTTATGATTTACTTTAATACATCTGTGTGTAGTTTTAGTAGTAGCAGTAGTAGCAGTAGTTTGGTTACTGCCCAAGGCCTATATACATTTATGTGCTCGTTAAGAAATAAAAGTTTTTATTGTTTGATTAAGCAATTTTTCAATGCTGTATGTGTCCAGTGTAGTAATTGTTTTTGATATTGATTTATAGTTAGGGTCACATTACATGGAAACTATTGAAAAGAAAAAATCATGAAAACAATGTTATAAAATAGAAGACGTACTAAAATCCAATATTAAGATATGTGCACTATGTGTTGAGCAGTGATTGAATGTAACTAAGTACATCTATTAAAGTACTGTACTTAAATACAAGTTTGACATACTTGTACTTTTACTCCTCTACATTTATTTGACCCTTCTAGTTACTCTCCACTATGAAATAAGATGTATTATGCTGTACAGTAGTATCCACTTATTTATTTAGTAATATACAAAGTATCTGAAACTTCAACATCAACATGCTCTTACATGTATTTGTTAGTGTTAAAAAACGAATAATACAATATTCTATAATAATATAACACTTTGAAAGGAGACATTCTGCCGCATGAGTTATTTTATTTTTGATACATTAAGTATAGTTTGAAGATAGTACTTTTGTACTTTAGTAACATTTTGAATTTAGGACTTTTGCTAAAGTATTTAGTAATTTACTGAAGCATCTTTAGACCGCTATTGCTACTAGGCTACTTCTTCCACCACTGGTGTTCAGTGTAGTAAGCTGGTACAGGTTAGTAGATTGATATATCCTGGTATTGATATGGAGTAACTAAATCCCAATACACTGAAATTAAAAACATTGCCATCGGTTTTTTTTTTTTTAAATGATTAATTATATGTTATAAATAAACAGGGTAATGGAGATGAGCTAACAGATCCAACTGTCAACACCGGTGAAACTGAAGAAGCAGCGAGCGTCAAACTTTAGCGAGCGTCTATCTGTCTAGCGGATTCCCATCAGTAGACCACAGTAGAGACGCATAAAAGAGTTAAAAACTTGAGTATTCGACTTAACTTTAGTCCAAATGAATGCTAATGTTGCTCCGTAAATAACGTTAGTAAGTTAGATGAACTGCTGCAACTATTAGCTAGGAAGTTCTTCATATAAACGTCAAAGCTAACGTTAGCTTAAAGTCAGGTCACTGTTGTATTCAGTTTGTTTCCGCTGCCCTCAAGTGGCCAAAAAGTTATTATTGGTTTAATAAAATAGAAAATCAGACCTTTTATCAAAAATGGTCAATGACATTCCCTCTAAAATGTTTTACGTTGTTTTCTGTTACATGTTTTTACACCGATATTTAATTAATCAGTTGGTTGTTTTTGTTGTTAGAACCATTCAGGTGGGAAGACTATCTGAGACAAACATCCTCCACTGCAGCATCGCCTACTTCATTCAAACAGGTAATGATTATTAAGGTGCTTTTCAGGGTCCCATGTCATTCATTCCCTTTAAATTGTTTCTTTTTCAAATGTTCGTATTTTTGTAATATTGTCAATGTTAGATACAGTCTGCCATGAACCAGAGTCAGGACAAGCATGTCTAATGTTTCGTAAGTAAGGGTTGTTTAGTCAAAGGTGTTGTTTTAAGGATAAGTCTGGTGATATTCTAGTATTTTCTTATTGTCAATAATAACCAAAATCAACAATACATACATTCCAACTAATGTCTGTGGAGATAAAGCCTGATATTCCTCTCTGCCATACAGCTACATTGTTGTCCAAAGACTAAAAACACATCAATGAGCCGTTCTGTTGTTGTGAGTGACATGTTTCATCATTAAGATGAACATTTGGAAGCTTATTTTTATATATATAGTCAAATAAGATGGTGCTGTAAAGCCATGGTGGAAAATAGTCCCAAACAAATGGTCGATTTGCTCCTGTCAGCACCCAGCTTTATTATAAAAAAGATTTGGTCGTTTTTTTTAAGTGAAAGTATATATTTATGACCCATTTTAAAGATTTTTTTGTGGGTCTTCCTGTCATAAGTGTCCTCACATTGCATGATAGTGACTGAATGTCCCTGTGTGTCCCTCTGCAGTCCAGAGTCCCCCCCTCTAATGACTTTAAAGCAGGTATGAAGCTTGAAGCGCGGGACCCTCGCAACTCAAACTCTGTGTGCATTGCAACGGTGATGGGCATGATGGGTACTCGTCTCCGCCTGCGCCTGGATGGAAGTGACAACACCAACGACTTCTGGAGACTGGTCGACTCATTAGACATCCAACCAATAGGAACCTGCGAGAGGAACGGAGACATGCTGCAGCCACCACTGGGTGAGTTGACAGATATTTGTCTATTTTTACATGACATTTGTTTGAGAGTTGAAATATGTAAATAATTGTCTCAAACTAATTTGTTATTCATAATGTGATAGATATGTAGTGGGTTAACAAGGACCACACTTTCTGGGACTGTCTTTAAGCATTTTGTTGCAACACATCAGACATGGTAATACCCAAACCTCCCTGCAATTGTAGAAAGACAAAGAAGTCACAAGGTCTCTCTTGTATAAAAGCTTTCTGTGCCTTCCAGGGAAAAGACCAGAATGAGAAGAAAAAGTAAAACTCACTGAAGTGCAATAAAACAAGCACTAAACTTCCTGTTAAGACACAGAACATTCTCCTCTTGTAGATACTGTAAGTGCACAAGTTCTGCATTAAAATATATTTCCTCTCAAATACACTAACACTTGAGGAAGCCGACAGTGAATTAAAGATATAATATTGTAATGACATCATTTGAACCTTAAAGCCCCCGACACACTCAAACCCACTCACTCAATTTTCACTGATGAGATCTCTTTTCAGGACTGTGTGGGTGTGTAGAGACTGACCTTTTTGACATGTCACGGTAGGTAAAGCACCGGTGTGAATAACTAAAATAAATGATGGCTGAATTCCATTTAGCTGCTTCAATTTCAGCGTCCTGGTATTGTTGGCTCACTGTCGCACTGTCGCAATGTCATGGCTGGGACAACTTAAACCGTTATCATATAATTGGTGAATGGGCATCATGTCATTCTCAGGATGGTGAGGCCTTATTTCTGAGTGGAGCTTGTCCAGATCTTTGATCGTTCTCCCAGTTTGGAGAAACAGCTGACCATTTAGCTTTGTAAGAAAAAATGCAAAGCAAATACCAAACAAATCGAGTCACACGGATGCAAAACTCATATGTAAATCCAGTATTGACATAAGAAAGTCCTGCTCATTGACAACACCAACCTCTGTCTGCAATTTAATAAATCTGGCCTTGTGTTTAGGTTTCAGGATGAATGCTTCGTCGTGGCCTATGTTCCTCCTAAGAACGCTGAGTGGAGCAGAGATGGCCCCTGCCTCTGCTTTTAAAAAGGTAACGACGACGAGACGAAATAGTAATATTACAGTACTTTCCGTTTTGCTGTAGCTGATCAACCTTTGAAGTTGTCAGAATGAATTGACAGATCTGTTGTCAGGTTTCTCCTCGTTTCATGAGAAAAAGAGTGACAGAGACAGTATTAAGTGGGGCCTGTTTTTCCAGGTGTCCTAATCCTCTCACAGTCAATGTTAAGAACTCCAGCTATTAAATGATTAAAACAGTGCAACAAAACCCCCACATAATCTCAACCATTTAAACCTACTAATAAAAGCAGATTGTTGTCTATACGCTTGGGATCATAATTGATACAAATATAAATCTTGACTTAACAACATGTAATGGTAGTTTTCTACTTTTTCTACTGTTTCTATTGCAGTAATCAGCACAGACACAAGGGGGAGCCATTCATATGCCATTTACACTGGATCAGACACAGCAGCATGCCAGTCAATACATACAGTATAGTTTTTATTACTGCACAATGTGGAGAAAGCAGGGTTTTGTTTCAACAAAATATGATTAAAGTTGTGTATATTCATTAGTAAGCATCTTCAAAGACTTGCAAGATACAAGCAATTCTGTGATTGTACAGTGTTAATTTGCTTGATTATGTATACGTTTGTGTGTGTGTGTGTGTGGTTGTGTGTGTGTGTATGTTCAGGAACCAGCCAGCCCAGCAAAAAACTACTTCCAGCCTGGTATGAAGCTGGAAGCGGTGGACAGAAAGAACCCTTACCTGATTTGTCCCGCCACAGTTGGAGAGGTCAGAGGTCAGGAGATTTTCGTCATGTTTGACGGCTGGCGAGGCGCCTTTGACTATTGGTGCCCCTTCGACTCCAGAGACATCTTCCCCGTCGGCTGGTGTGCCCTGACAAAACACAGCTTGCAGCCGCCTGGAAATTTCTGTGAGTGCTGCTTTGATTGTTATGTTTTATTGTCGTGTAGTGTGTACAATGTGCCATCTGTAAATTGTGAATTTCATATATTTTGTGCAATGTTGTGCCTCAATAACAATACATGAATGAATTTTCAGTGATACCACAGATTTCCATTATAAAGTAGATCATATGATTACATTTTGGATCACCATGATCATATATTTGCAAACCTAATCAATTGTCAAATGAGCTAATATAATTATTTTAATATACCGTGAGGATGAGAAAAGGACATTACTTCTCAAGTGCTCATTGACTGAGACTGAGGATCATATAAGATTCAGAATATGGTTGTTTAATCCCACAGATGGCTTTAAAGTTATCATCCTAACAGTCAGAAGATGCTTATGTAGGACAATCAGTCAATCGTAAGCTAATTTATCACAATGACTTATTTGGTGGTCTTGTTTTGAGGGTGGACAGGTGTTTTATCAGAGATCTTTAAATTACATTATGTAATTCTCACCACTAGAGGGCAGCAGAGCATAAATTCAGATGCGTCTGCCTCCTCATTACATGCTGAGAACATAGTTGAGCCAACTCTTTAATGCAGTGGTTTTCAACAATGTACCCCCATTGAAATATTTTACCAGCCAAGTACCCCCTGACCAGCGCAAAACATTTTGTGTTTGTTGCTGCAGTTATCAGTTTACGTCAGCTAACGATTGCATTGAAGAAAGTAAAACTGAATCGCACTTAAATTCAAATTGTTATTGTATTAATTATAGCATCCTTATTGTAATTTCAGGAATTATGCATGACTAAAAGCTGTTTAATCAACATTTTTTTAAATAATTATAATAATAATACTAACTTTATTTATATAGCACCTTTAAAAACAAAGTTTACAAAGTGCTTTGACAGCAACTATAGGCAATAATAACAACAACAGAAAGCTCAACACTGAGACCCGACAAAGCACGACAACCAAGGTAAGAGTTGAACCCAGATAAATCAGTACAATAGATGAAACGGAAATAAAACAGTCAATACAATAAAAATAAATTAAGAAATAAATAAAATAATTTTGTAAAACAGTTTTGTGAATTCAACAAATAAAACAGTAAAGCGACGACATCACATGACAGCCAGTCTGTAAAAATATGCCAGAAGGGCCCCACCTGAGGATCTAAGGCTGCGAGCTGGCTCATAAGGGGTCAACACTTCCTCTATATGTTTTTGGGCCAGACCCATACGTGCTTTAAAAGTGATCAGTCAAATTTTAAAATCAATTCTAAAACGAACAGGGAGCCAGTGAAGAGCAACCAGGATTGGGGTGATGTGATGTCGTCTGTTAAAACCAGTGAGAAGCTGCTGAGCTAGTTGTTCTGAGCTAGTTGGAGGCGAGAGAGTGACTTTTGGTTTGTTTTTGGCCAGAGAGCAGGGAGTTACAGTAATCGAGTCTTGAAAAGAATGAAATCTACCGTACCCGCCCTGCGGCACTCCAAAAGTACCCCTAGGTGTTAATGCACCCCCATGTGAGAAGCGCTGCTGTAACGGACAGCTCAGCATACCTGTAGCGTTGACTTCAGCTGTTGGTTGTTCGGTGCGCTCACTTCATCATCCCCGGTACTGGGTGTCATATTTCTCGGCCAATATCAAGACAGGGAGGCCTTGTTCAGAGCTTGTTGAGTCTGTCGTTGTCCTTAAAATGGGTTGAGTTTAATACTTGACATCACAATGTGTCTCAAACAGTCGATCATAATTTGCTTCCCTGCTAGCATTTGACTAAATATGTGGCAAATTGTGACCAGTGGTGGAGGAATTACTCAGATCTGTCAATGAAGTCAAGGAAGCAATACCTGTGTAAAAATACTCAATACAAGTAAAAATCCTGCAATCAAAATGACGCTGACATAAATAAGTACAGGCATGAGTAAGTGACCTATTTCAGTGTACGACATATTGTTGAATTATAATTACTGATTCAGTTGATGTGTCTGCTAAACATAAAAGTTAGTCTTATTAGGCAGAAAACGGCAATGTGATGAGCAGAATAGGGAGCTAATTATTGCTATAAAATTAAATAGTGAAATCAAGTTGCTAAAAATGATGTAAGAGATTGAGATCGATCATTGTAATCAATAACGTCAGATGTTTCTGAAATCTTACAAAGAAGGAACATGTTTTGGTTGATTTCATGGATGTATTTCTAGGTGCATTAATTGATAGCAATTATTAAAAGTAATTATATAGTATCATGAAATAACGGTGTATAATGGGCGGTGTAATTGTCTAGTAAAGTGTTAGTTCCTTTATCATCGTAACAGGATAAATACTTGAAGATGCTGCCATTGTGTGACATCTTGTAGGCACTGGTTTCCACTGAAACAAGTTTTTAAAGGAAGAACCAAGTCAGTTGTGGAATGTTGAGGTCAGATTTTCATTTGTGAATCTCCTCTGTATGTTTTGTTTTCCTCTGTCTGTTTTGGTTTGAGTTGGTTGTCCTTGTTGGTGGGGTTGTGACCCGCAGCTCTCACCTCCACACTGAGGCTGCAGAGTTCTCTGAAGATTCAGCGAGTCTGCTGGAATAGATTCCAGTTTCTGGCCTGTCTCTCGTATTACTCCACTCCTTTACATAACCACAGGCAGTTTTTAAACGTGTGATTGTTTGGGCTGTTTTTAGCTCCGTTTTGCCTTTTTGAAAGATTTTGAAAGATGTGGCAAGGCAGCTTGGCAGTTGGAGCAAACCGGCAATCACTGATTTTCCCGCAGAGGCACAGATTTAGTCATGTATGTCCAGAAACAACACATTTCAGGCTCTGAATAGAGTTGTGTTTGCACATGTCATTTAATTGAACCTAAAACAGCCTCTGTTTTGTGACCTTCTGTAGAACTATGTGGTTGTTGGGAAAACAGTCTGTCTAGATAAGGAGGAAAGTATCAACAAAAATGTAAAAATTGTATCTAATCATAGATTTATGTTTTCATGTCAGCTCTTATTAATCTTAGGCGTTGCATCTTTATGCTTTTTTGCAGCTTATAGACAGGTTGTAACTGTAATTGTTATAAGTGAAAAACAGCTTGAAAGCTCAGATGCTTGTCTGATTCTATAAAAATCATATTAAAAGAATAAAATCAATATTTTTTTTAATATCTTAAATTCTCATTTAGGTTGGAAAGCTGTTTTGCAAGGCAGACCTGGCCAGGATGCAGGATAAAAGGTTGCAGAGAACACAATAAAAACAATACTAAACACAGATAACAATACTGAAAATACATAAAATAGACAGAAAAAATACAACATTTTGGAGTAAAATTAGCAAACAGGTGATGAAATCACTTTAAAACAAATGCTACACAATAATAAGACGAGCTGGAGCTGCCGTCACCCTAAATGACCTGGTGAGGCTGTAACCTCTCAGTTTATTCCCATGTATACTATCTTGATTAATATTTGTTTAGAACACATTTGCAGGGGTTTTTCTCTGCTATCGCCGTTTCAGTTCGCTGTGACATTTTGCAAGAAATATATGCTGTCAACTTTTTAAATGCTTGTAAAATATCTGGTTTAAAAATATTTTAAAGTGCTTCTCTAAATAACCATTTCAAGATTTATCAAATGTGCACATTTGTCCCCTTCAGATAATCCTTCTGTTTCTTTTTTTATATGCTCCTAATTTTTCCATAGACGCCAGGCAAAACATTCCCTCTATGTGTCTGGCAAATTACAGCTTTGGTTGATAATATGAGTGTGAATGCAGTACTGAACTATTAATTATCAACCAGGGTATAATTATACGGTAATTACGCTCAGCGGTTACAGGAGTATACCAAGATGTGATTTGCACTAATGCTTAGGCTTAATGTTCAAAGTTTGGCTCTTTATATATATACAGTATATATATATATTTAGATGTTTGATATCCATCAAAATCACTTTGAGAAATGTCTCAGTGAACATCAACCATCCTCATGTTTGCTTTTACGTTACATTAGCTCCCATCGAGCAACTTCCTCCCCTTTACCCTGTTGTTGGTGTCCTCTGGTCAGGAAACATGGGGCTTTGAATAACCCAGACCAACAACCATTCTTGATTCATGGGAAGTGTGTGTTCCTGTGTGTGTGTGTGTGTTTGTTTGTGTTTCCTCCACTTTGTTGATTGATGGCAGCAGTTACGTGTTCTCAGTCCTCGGGGCAGTGAGGCAGTCAGGTTTATGTATCGATACACCAGAGAGACATTGATGTCTGCTTCCGATGTCGGTCCATACAAGACTGCCTGGCTACAAAATACTAATCCATGTGTGTAAAGGGAGCTGTCATGATGTGACGTCCCCATATCCGCCTCTAGAGCTCACCAGGGGCCAGTTTCACCAAGATATTTTAGATTAGTCTGTAGTGTTAGGCAAGGCTCAATTTTACTCTCAGATTAGTCTAGATGACTATTTCATGAGAATAAATACTGACTTATTTTAAACCTAAGCTTATCTTGGTTACCTAAATCTCTAACTAAATCTACCTAAATGCAGGGAGCTATAAGAAAGACTATTTAGAGAGCTCAGTAGGCTGTTTTTAGAAACTAACCTGAATCTTACCGATGAGTAAACAGAAGCGCTGCGTCCTGTCACGTTAAGAAGCCACAGCAGCTCAGCTCTGCTGCAGGTCTGCACTGCACTGAGAGTTTCTATGACTGGAAGGTGTTAGTACTGTTACAGTCTTTTTCAAAAAGACAACATTTTTCTGCTGGAGAGAACGAAGCCAAGCGGTTTGATGCGGTTTCTCAGGTTTTTTTAGTTTGAAAAAAAGTCTTGACTTACTCAGAATTTTTGGCAAATTAGTTGTATTTAAGTCCAGAACTATAGAGCTTTGTGCAGCAGATGAATTAATACGTCTATCTAATGTTTGACCAGTAGTTTGATTTGAGCCACATAGTCAAAGTCTATCTTTGTGAAGCCAGCCTCTGCTCTTTGCTTACAGAGAGACTTACTTATAGTAGACAGATTTACTCTTTGCTTGTGTAGGTGAAG